AAAAGCAGAGAAAAAAAAAAAGAAAAAGTGAAAGAACAGAAAAGTCCTAAAACTCACTGGAGCTTCATTATCGTCAGAAATCAATCGGAGCCCGTTCTGATTCAGCAGTAAATCCCCGTCGTGAAAGGTCCCACTTGCCGTCCTGCTCTCCAAAAATCAACAGAATCATGGAAAGTGAGTTTAAAACACACACTGAAAGAAAAGATACAAATAATTGAAGTGTTTAATACAGGAAAGAGGATATGGGAGAATTCTGTGCCGGAACAGAGAGCTTGAGTTCCTTGAGAGGTTTCTTGATCTTCATGATCCCGATTCCTTCCAGCCGGAAAGTAGATCTTAGGGTTCCACCGTTCCCTGCCGGAGATTTGGGACTCAGGGTCGGTGAAGCTGAGATATGAAAGGAGAAATTTTAAATGGTAATGACCGCCAAACTAACTCACCTATAAATTTGTAATGATGGATAGTGAATGCCACCAATGACCTCTTAGCTTACTGGCTAAGAACATCTACAATGCTATAAGTGTGAAAGATCATTATTTTTAACACATGTCAATTAGTAATTGTAATGTTAATTCACATTGGAATAATGTTAAAAGACTAAAAATTTTAATGAAACTAGTATCTCCAATGGATCAACTTGATAAAAAGTTATTTGTATAGGTGGACCAATTAAATAATTCATTGATACAAAAAAAATAAAAAAATAAAACAAATATAAAGTAAATTGATGAGTCATCATGTTTAACATGGTGTTAGATATTAGAAAGTGTGCTCAACATTGTCAACATTAAATGACATCCACCTCATCATGAAAGAGTTTATGATAAGATGCATTGGAGAAAAAAAATAGAGACACACTTTCAAAAGTTGATGATATGGATGAGTTTTTATAATGTCAAAAGTTGCATTGGAGATGCTCTAAGAGTGAGGTGCCCTTGGCCTCAAGTCAAGGATTCGAGCTCTTGGAGTGCAATGATGGAACAATTAATATTGATGACTACAAGTGATCGTGTGGGAGGCCGAAACTCAGTGGGACCCTGCGGCCGGATCAGTGGGCTCAGTATAAAGTTGTGGGGGTCAGCATGGAGCCATCACTGAAGTGGGAACCTGCGGCTGGATCGATTGGGGGCCAGCGAGCAATCACTAAAGTGGGAACCTGCAGCTGGATCGGTGGGGCCAACTTGGCTGGGGGGTACGGGCCAACATGGAGCAATCACTNACATGGAGCAATCACTAAAGTGGGAACCTGCTGCTGGATCGGTTGGGGGGCCAGCGAGCAATCACTAAAGTGGGAACCTGCGGTTGGATCGGTTGGAGGGCCAGCATGGAGCAATCACTGAAGTGGGAACCTGCGGCTCGATCGGTGGGCCAACTTGGTTGGAGAGGCCATCATGGAGCAATCATTGAAGTGGGAACCTGTGGCTGGATCAGTGGGATTGGGATCGATTCGGCCGACTTAGAGCTGGGAGGGCCAGCATAGAGCAATCACTTGGGGATCGACTCCTTGTGCACGAAAATAGTGAATACCGACTCAACATCTAATATTATATAGAATTGTAGGTTAACAATTTAATGTAAATATATTAATAACTTTTTAACTATTCTATCATAATAATTATTATTAATATTAAATAACTATAAAATTCACACTATAAAAAGTTTAATAAATTACACACTTATTTAAAATACTATAGCAAATATTTTATTCAAGTTATCTTCTTAAAATTATCATATCTTTTTAATTGTACCTCATCAAGCAATTTTTTTTAATAGATAGCTGGTTTAAAGGCATGGCAAACCTTTTAAAATTGGATAAACAATCTATAATAATAATAAATTATTATTTTTTCAACTAGTTAATTAGTCATGATCTCTTACATTTGTAAAATTATATTATTCATTACATTTTTCGCAATATATATGATTATTCGTATATAAGTAAAATAGTTTGTAATTATTGTTCATTTTTATTAATGATCAAATTTTCAAAATGCAATATGCTCATTATATAACCTAGGATTTTAACTATAACATCCATGCATATAATTTATGATATTTTCTTGCATATGTGCATATGCGCAGAATTGAGTACTATTATGTATTGACTGCAATAATTAAATATTGATTAAAACATTGTTATTTAAAAATATGTAAGTGAATTTTATTAATAAATACATAAAGGTGGTTGAATTATCGATCTACCAAGCTTTACGGTTGAACCACCACCTTTATTCATGAACTGGATCAATCTGCAGAACAACTAGCAAAATAGCAACGAAGGAGAACCCCAGAGTAAACGCTCTGACACAATTAGCAAGCAAAGAATTATCTCAATTTCACAAATCCACAAAAGATCATTCTTTCCGTGCTCGTCAAACCACAATCAATATACAAGGACACCCAAAGCAATCATACAACATACAACACCAATTTGTGTAGAACTTTCAGCCTAAAAATATGATGTGCGTTTTGACACCTGAGTAGGTTAAAAAAATATAACACATGGGATTTTTGGTAAAATAACAATGCGGCACGTGTTGGATGCACATAGATTTGTTTTATAAGACTACATTTATCCCCAAATAAACCCAACCCAACCCAATCCAGCTGAACAATAAAAAATTATTTCTCTCTCATCCACCTACACAACCCAACATATCTTTATCCTCAACTCAACTCAACTCAACCCAACCCAACCCAACCCAGCCTAATATTATTTCATTTTTATTTATTTATTTTATAAAATATTATGTACAATTAATTTTTTGTTATTGTTTTAGTTGTGATAAATTAATTAATATATCTATAACAAAGTCGTAATGATTTCAAAAAATTAATATTTTACCATATAATAAAAAAATTACGAACCTAGTTAAAAATATAAAATTACATAAATCTGAATAAAATATTGTAATTAATTAAATAAGTTACAAACATATCAAATGAAATTACACATCAACTACCATTGCCAAATTTTCCTCATATGCGCTCAATCAAGTCGTTATTCACTCTATTCTGAAGTTATGACCTATTAGTCATATATGTATATAGGTTTGTGATTCTTTCAATCGAGTATTGAAAAGACATATCATCATCCTTTTCTTCTACTGCATTTCTTCTATTCCTCCGTCGTTGCCTACGTCCGTTTGTAGGCCTATCATTCATAAATCTTGTGGGATCATGATAGTTCCAGCAGGTGTCTCGTTCATCTTCTACTATCATATTGTGTATGATGATACAAGTCATCATAATTCTTCCCATGAAAAAAAAAAAGCGATCTCATTCTAGACATGGTCATTTGATAAATGCGAAATGAGCTTGTAGAACACCAAATGCTCGCTCATCTTTTCTAGTCGCCTCTTGGTGTTGAGCAAACAACTTGTGCTTTCGAAGTTGCGGAGAAGTAATTGATTTAACAAATTCAGCCCATGAAGGATATATACCATCAGTGAGGTAATATCCCATATTACTTTGTCGACCATTCACGACGTAGCTGATTTCTAGTGCACGACCTTCCAAATTATCATAAAAAAACATGAGATTGGTGAAGTACATTGATATCGTTGCACGAACCTGGTGTTCCAAAAAATGCATGCATTCAATGTGGCATTAGACATTTTTTTTTAAAAATAATCTCAATGAAAATAGTATAGTTTTTAAAGTAAACTTTTGTGCAGCGAATTGGAACTGGGCATGGGACCGGTCTGGTTCTTATCATATTTTTTAGGAACCAGAATCGAAACCGAACCAGAAAAAAATTGGTTCATTTAATATATAAATAATTGTAGGAACCGAAAAAGAATCGAACCGGTTTATACGGTTCGATTTTTCCAGTTTGTCGGGTAACCAAATAATAAAAAATAACCGACAATACCCAATTTTGAGTTAAGAACCGGTCAAAAAATTGCAACTCACGGACTAAAAATATTATGAAAAACCGAGAACCGAAATGCAAAAATGAGGAATCAAATATTACAACAAGAATCTGAACCGATTCATGCATGTAAACATATAAGACTATGATTGGTTAAACTAGCTGATAAGCTACCTGATAGTTGATAAACTAACTTATAGCTTATTAGTAATTTTCGAGTTTATAGCTTATAACTTATGACTTATCGCTGATAATCTAGCTTATATGATAAAAGTGTTTGGTAAAATTAACTGATAAGCTAGCCGAAATAAAAATTTAAACGAGTTTATTTAAAAAAATACTAAAAGAAACTTATGAAATAAGATCGAGCTTTTTATAAACGCTCGTCCTACAAAACGAAGTTTATTTAAATGCACAAAGCTTATAAGTTAATCAAATAAACTATAAGCTAACTTATTTGTCTAACAAACATAGCCTAAAACATGGATATTTCACATATATAGCCAGATAATACCCATACACTTGGAAAGGAATCGGGAATCGGAATCGAAAAATGCAAAAATAACTGGAACCAATTTTTTTTTTTTTTTTATTTAATTTTTTTTTTTTGGGGAATAACCGGACCGAACCACCGGTTCTCGGGTGTAAACTCACACCTCTAATTGGAACCGCAAAATTTGCTCCTGCTGGGGATTTGGGTCAGTCTAACGGGTCGGGCACCGGGTTTGACAACGAAGGTTCTGGATAAAACTACCTCCGGCAATTTCAATTCAACCCTGCCTCTTGTTTTCTTCTTCTTTAAGTTCATGCTTTTCTCCTTCTTGCTGAGCTTGACTTTTATATAAAATCTACAGACTAACAAGTTGCAGATCGTTTATCCTCGAAATTGTTTGTTCCATCCCAACTGATTTTTTTCCAGATTCGCCATGTCTTCACCTTCCGAGTAATTTTCTATCCCTGTATTCGAGATGCTTGTATAGCCTTTGGTTGTTGTTTAGATTTGTTTACGTTTATTTTCCGGGCAATTATCTAGCTGCAATGTGTGTAATTGAATGGTTCTATCGCCTTATACTGCTATTTGTGCTCTTGAATAAGATTAATTGCGTTTCGTTTTTGTTCATATTATTTGCTTTGAGTTGTCTTGATTTGTAGCTGGATGGCTTAGCTATCAGGTTTTTTGACACATAAATACTTATAGACAGGTTTTCGTTCTTCCAGGCGGTGTTAATTTTGCCTTGTATTTGTAATCAAGGCCTTTGGAAATTGACCTAGGTTTTGTAACTGCAATCTGGCTTTTTCCGAACAATAGTGGGGAAGCATGGACAGATTTTTTATGCTGCATGGAGGATTTTTGTTGGCTAGTTGGTAGATGTGTTCAAAGGAGATATCCACATGCTATAGTAATCTACATCCTTTGAGTTGCTTAATTGGTATATTCATCATTTGTTTAAAGAAAATCCTGAAAGCTTGTCTTTTCCATTGCTTGAAAACTTGATAACTTTTCACAAGCCTGTTCTCTCTTAAAAGTAGGATTTATTTCAAGAATAATTATATGATCTGTATGTCCATATCACTATGAATTCTGGGATCATCTTACTTTTTAATATGACGATTGAACTTGTATCATACTTGCAAGTTGCATAAGAACATATATTCTCTCTGACTAGTAAATGATTTGAGTAATAGTTTGTAAGTTTGGCTATGTAATTTGATAAGTAAGAAAACTTCACCAGTAATGCTCTTCTTTTTAATTGAGAGTTTGAGATTTTGCCAATTTCTCTTTTACAGATACTACAAGTCTCTTCCACCTATAACAAAGGCTTATGGAACCACATGCTTTCTGTTCACCGTTGCATTTCATATTGGGCTGCTAAATCCTTATCATATAGCACATATACCTGCTCTATCAATCTGGCGTCTCCAGGTAATGTTTTAGGCAAATCTTGTTCTAGTAAATTTTGTATACAGTAGATAATTTTACTGTTGTTTTTCCTCATTTTAAACATTGATTGCTGTCTTAGGTGTATGGTTGGTCTTACAATATTATATGTACTTGTACATTTGTGTGTTTCATGTTAAAGAGAGGAATGCTGAATAAAAGTATTTGTTTGTCTGATTTTTGTTTTAAACTTTCTATATTGAACGAACTATTGATTAACTACGATGCATCCTGGTGCATTATGGCGAGTGCTGTATTAACAAGTTCAGTAAGATATTTGTCATATATTTGATTTATCTATGAAATGTGCCATCGTATTATATGCAAAATGTCCTCCAACATAGATAAAATTGGGCCAGTGCAGATTGTACATGTGAGAGGTTAAGGTAAGGTTTTATGGAAATGCAATTGTCATTCCTCTTATCTTCTGAGAGCCTGCTGATTATTATGGTTAGTCAAACTTGACCTATTTGTAATGTTATATCAACATAACCAATAATTAAAGTTGCCATCATGGTGCCTTTAGATAAAATTAAGACGAAGATAGTATTGCAGTCTCTTCTGATGGCAGTCGGTTAGGTATATAAAAACTTAAATATTCTGTGTCACGGTGAAAAGCCCTGAAAGTTTGTAACTGTACTTCAGATATTCCTTTATTCTTCAATCAGTTTCTAATAAGAGAATAATTTGAATGTATTACTGATTTTTTGAAGACCAGAATATAGATAACTTAGATTATTAGATACGATATACCATGACATATATGGAATTTTACTCGAGTCTGTTTAGATGATAGGTCCCCAATCGTAAAAGATGAATTTAATATAGGCACGGAGTGAGATCATGCAAATCTTCGAGGGAGCATCTTAATTTTTTTTAGATTAGGACTATATGGATTTTTTACACATCTTTTAGTTTATCTGGCAGGTTAGATTTTGATAGGCTTTCTATTCCTTTTCAATTAATCTTTTATATATAAGGAGAAGAGGAAAAGGAGATACTCGCACCCAATAGCTAAAAAGACAGATTTGGAGTTGGTATCCACCATAGACACCTTAAGATTAAGGTTGTAAGTTGTGGCTTATATCTTGGAATAGATTGATTTGTTGGTTACCAATAGCTGCAGTTGTGTGTGTGTATCAGTGTGTTACCTATTCTTGTGTGATCCTTAAGAGTTTATTTGGTCGTTTCTTGCATTTTTGTGAAATCAAAATAGAAACAAATTACGAACTATTTGATATTATGTTATTTTGCATCTCAATTGAAGTTGTGCGCAGTCTATCTTCTTGTCAAACAAGATGTTTGGAAAGCTTCTGTAGCGTCCCTGTTCTCTTTTTTCACCTAATTCTCTCTTTCTGTACTTGTAGATTATCTAACTCTGTTTAATTTTTTTTCTTCAGGTATGGAGACTAATCACCAACTTCTTCTTTCTTGGCGCTTTCTCCTTCAACTTTGCTATCCGGCTCTTAATGATGTATGTTACACTAAATCCCAATTAGCTAGTGACGACTGACATGATTGAAATACTATATTTGATCCTATACTTGGCCTCTGATGCTGCCTGAAAAATATATACAACTATATTTTCTGCTCTACATGCAGATCGAGCTTTGTTTAACATTACGTTTTACATGTTCATGTAGAGCAAGATATGGAGTTCAGCTGGAGAATGGACCTTTTGCAAGACGCACCTCTGATTTCATATGGATGATGCTGTTTGGAGGCCTCTCGTTATTGGTATGTTAAGATTCTTTCACTGAGAAGATTCAGAATTATATTGATGATATTTTCTTTTTCCTCACCTTTTCTGTTGAATAATTTCTGTGCATTCTGTACCTTGTTCCCCACACCGAGTTTAAGAAGTTTCTTAATTGTTAATTTGTTATGTTGGTTTTTTGTTGTTGTTTCCTCCTTTACATAAGTTTCTAACTGTTTCCTATTTGTATAGGTTTTGTCCTTCATACCCTTTCTCTGGTCTGCCTTCTTAGGAGTATCGCTCATTTTCATGCTCGTGTATGTTTGGAGTAGGGAATTCCCAAATGCCACTGTCAGCTTTTATGGTCTGGTTTCTTTCAGGGTAACCCGTTTGGATCCTTACCTCTTGATTAAAAACTCAATTACTTTAGTGCTTTTTGTTTTTGGTTGTGGGCTAACGGCACTCTTATCTTCCTTCCCAGGCCTTTTATCTGCCATGGACAATGCTTTTCTTGGATGTCATATTTGGTTCACCCATTCTGCCCGATCTTTTGGGTATTGTTGTTGGGCATCTGTATTACTTTCTTACGGTGTTGCATCCGCTTTCTGGTGGGAGAAATATACTCTGGACTCCCAAGTTCATGTATCCTTTGTTTTTTGGTTTACATGTCACCTGCAAAAAAATATTTTTTTTTTCTTAAATTGCAAATAAAAAATCTTTCGGTTTTGATGTCATATTATATTTCCTCATCACAGACGAAAAGCATTTTAGAAACCTGCCTTTTATTTATTCAAGTATCACAGCTGCTCAGTATGCCATGCACAACCAAACTTTTATCAAACAAGAAAAAAATTATGTGACTTGTTTGGATACTTAAAATTACTTCTGGACTAGTTTGTCACCCTTAACTGGTGTTTTTTTTTTTAGTAATAAACTAGTTGCAAGGTGGAGAATAGGTGCACCGGAGTACAATGCCCCCCCTCAGGCGGATAGGACAAGTGGCGTATTCAGAGGAAGATCATATCGTGTTGGTGGGTGATATTATATCAACTTTTCATTTGCAAGCAGGCAAATGTTCTTGAAACTGCTATTGATAGCTGCAGTTGGTGTTTTTACTTGTTGCAAGCTTGGTGTTGACTCAAGACTTTGGTGGATCTGAGTACCAGAAATTCTGACTATTCCTTTACTTTTGTGACAGCCAATATATGCATAGACACGAAACTGAGAATATAAGCCAAGGTAGGGTAGTGCAGTTTTATGTGATTTTTGAATGTGAACTTTATGTGGCAAGACTTAGACAATGCACTTGGCTATTACAATATACAACACAGCTTAGTATTTTTCTGATTGTCCTGATTGTGCTGTTCAATTCAACGTAGGTAAAGAAAAAAAAAAACAGTTTATGAAACTTGTGTTATGTTTCAACAGAAATTCTAGAGCCGTCGAATAGTTTTCTTATGAAGCAATATATGACTTAATGTATTGACACTGTCTAAATGTATTTATTGTAGGATATATGCCAATACACTATTTGTGAATAAGTGCGGATGACACCATAAGTTGTGTCATTCACACGATATGTGTTGATTGATCTACTTCCAAAATGTATGTATGGAACTTGAAGCGGCGCCTGATTGATATAAATGCATCGAGTAAAAAATCAATCAAAACTCAAATTTAATTCAATTCTATTATCCTTAATTTTATCCATATAATTAAATAATATTAATTAATTAGTATTACACATCACAAATCAATTTTATTTCACTATTTATTCACTCACATAATTTTAGTTAATCATCACTTCATATATCTCTTTTCTATTTTTACATCAAATCAATTTTAATTATTTTATTTTAAGTACTATTTTAATATAAACTTAAACTTCCACTAACAACTAACATTACCAACTTTTTTTCAAAATGAACTATGGTTAACAAAAAAATCAATAAAAACTCAATCAAATCTATATCCAATCACACCTTTAGAACCAATGTTTTAAAATCTGTATCGGTCATCGAACCAATCAAACTATTGGTCTAATGATTTACTGGTTCGCCACCGATTGGACCGGTATTTAATTTATTAATATTTTTAAACCTATATAATATTTTATATAATAAAATTAATATAAAAATCTTATTAAATTTTAAGCTAATTTAAAACATTCAAATACTTAAACTAACTAATAATGACTTGTGAAGTGAATAAGATTTCACTCGGGCTCCTTCGAATCGGTCGGCCTCCGTACCTGCAAGAACCCAACGCCGGGAGGGGTCCCGGCGTCGGGCCTCCGACGCTCAAGTCAATATCACTCCAAATCTCAAGTGCAGTCATGAATGTAGAGAGAGTATGAGAGAATGTGATACCTTATCCCCCTTTTATAAGGGGGTGTACCTTATGGCCCAAGTTGGGCTTGTCCAATAGCATTATGCCACGTGTCCTAGCCATGTGTGGGCTTATTCTTCAATATATTCCCTTTTATCCATTAAACCTGGTCTAGTATAATATCCTATATCATCTAGTCCCCCCACTCTGGTCGAGTAAGTATGACTCGATCCAAGAGTGAAATTCCTCTTCGGGCTGCTTCCGTCAACCTGCCACTGAGGTTATAATTCGAATAAGTCATCGACCACCAAATAGTCACCAAACCTCCAAATGAGCATTGGGACCCCAAATGAACACTGCATGACCACTAAGGTCAGAAACCGAAAGACCCGCCACTAGGATTGAATACTGAAAGACCTGCCTCTGAGGTCGAATACCGAGAGACCCGCCACTGGGGTCGAACACCGAAAGTTGAATGACTACTGAGGTCGAAAATCGAATGACCCGCCACTGGGGTCGAATACCGAGGGACCCGCCACTGGGTTCGAATACCGAGGGACCTGCCACTGGGGTCGACCATCGAGTGACCGCCAATGAACTCGGAAAACAAGAACTGAATGACCACTCCCCGAAATCTTGAATTTGAACATTTGAACTTAGGTATGTTGAATTTCGATCACCATGTTCGAGCTCTCTTAGAGCACCTCGTCCTATCGCCCCCCAGTTCAAAATTTAAAATTCAAGCCCGTTGTATATTCTCTCAAAATCCGAATGACCTTCGTGAACTGCTCTGAATGAACTCCATCTCCCTTCTGTTGAAGTCGAAAAATAAATTCGACGAAACCAAGAATCAAATAAAGATAATCGACCTGCCACTGAGGTCTGCTGGAGCTATCCGTAATGAACTCCATCTCCCTTCTCTTGAAGTCGAAAAATAAATTCGACGAAACCAAGAATCAAATAAAGATAATCGACCTGCCACTGAGGTCTGCTCGAGCTATCCGTAATGAACTCCATCTCCCTTCTCTTGAAGTCGAAAAATAAATTCGACGAAACCAAGAATCAAATAAAGATCATCTACCTGCCACTGAGTCTTCTCGAGCTATCCGTGTCTTCACCGACCCAACGCTAGGATCGACCACCCAGCCCGGAGGCCTTAGTCATGGTGGATTTTGGTCTTCGAACACATGTCCACCCTCGAAGGAGTGGTCGTTACATGTGACCACCCAGCCCGGAGGCCTTAGTCATGGTGGATTTTGGTCTTCGAACACATGTCCACCCTCAAAGGAGTGGTCGTTACATGTGACCACCCAGCCCGGAGGCCTTAGTCATGGTGGATTTTGGTCTTCGAACACATGTCCACCCTCAAAGGAGTGGTCGTTATATGTGACCACCCAGCCCGGAGGCCTTAGTCATGGTGGATTTTTGTCTTCGAACACATGTCCACCCTCAAAGGAGTGGTCGTTACATATGACCACCCAGTCCGGAGGCCTTAGTCGTGGTGGATTTTTGTCTTCGAACACATGTCCACCCACAAAGGAGTGGTCGTTACATGGGACCACCCAGCCCGGAGGCCTTAGTCGTGGTGGATTTTGTCTTCAAGCACTTTCCCACCCAATCCGAGGAATGTTCGAAACAGAAGGCCACCCAGCTCGAAGGCGAGGGCTTTTTCGACCAACCTGCCCATCCCAAGGGGTGTACAAAACAAGCGACCACCCAGCCCGAAGGCCTTAGTCATGGTGGATTTTGTCTTCAGGAATTTGTCCACCCAATCCGAGGAATGTTCGAAACAGGAGGCCACGGCCATTGGGCCGCGGCTGAATGTTGCTGGGCCGGTGCGATGGGCCTGGTAGAGGCTTGGGAAGCGCGGGCCGCTCGCGGGCCGTACGCGGGCTGGGGTGGGGCTAAGTTTCTACGCGGGCTGGGGACGGGCCAGTAGCGGGCTTCACGGGCCACCGTTTCTGCGAGGATCGGGCCGCGGTGGCTGGATTCGGCCCGCGAGATTGAGCAGATGTGCGCTGGGCTCCTCCTGCTGGGTTTTGGGCCTATTCGCCTAGGCCGTGTGATGGGTAGTGGGCTTCGTCCTTAGGCCGCTTGCTGGGCCTCCACCGTGTCTGGTTACAGATTGCAGATACGGGATGGGCTTCCACGCGCGCCGAGCTGGAGCACTGCTGGGCCGGCGATGGACTGCTCGTAGACTGTAGGTTGTGCACTCGATCACACCAAGCTCCGGCAGAAACAGCCGGAAAAAGACTGCCGGAAGAACGTCCTAGATTCCAGCGAAGGTAACCTTCCACACGTGCGTCTCGACGAGGCTAATCCGATGGTGTCCTCGGTTTTGCGTGGTTCGTTGGAAAACGCCGAAAAAATGAAGTAGATGACCGGAGTTGACCACCAATTTTCTAGGTCCAAAAAGTTTGACCGACTAAATTGACGGCCCTCCCGACGGAAGTTTCATTTGAAATTTTAAGGGTGGAATGAGCAGGGGAAAAGCTTTGCGATGACATAAGAATTTTTTCGATCGGACAACTTTGACCGGAGGGCGGTGGCCGACGGCGGCGCCGGCGGAGGTCACATTCGGAAGACTCGCCTCGTCGAGAGGATTCCAATGGTGCTCCCGGATTTCTCATAGCCCTCACGGATTGTCGGTAAAACGCATTTGAAGGTCGAATGTTGACCAAAATTTCTTAGATCCGGAAAGTTTGACCGGCCAAATCGAAGGCCTTCCCGGATGAATTTTCGAATGAAATTTTAAAGGGAGATTCACCTCGACGAGATATACCCGTTGACGTAAACATCTATTCGATCCGAGTACTTTGGCCGCCTGAGTCGAAGGAGAATTTTCGTAATTTTTCGATCGGAACTCCGTTTGGCTTTTTGAACGGGTCCCACACACGGCGCCAATGAAGTGAATAAGATTTCATTCGGGCTCCTTCGACTCGGTCGGCCTCCGTACCTGCAAGAACCCAACGCCGGGAGGGGTCCCGGCGTCGGGCCTCCGACGTTCAAGTCAGTATCACTCCAAATCTCAAGTGCAGTCATGAATGTAGAGAGAGTATGAAGGAATGGGATACCTTAGCCCCTTTTTATAGGAGGGTGTACCTTATGGCCATAGTTGGGCTTTTCCAATAGCATTATGCCACGTGTCCTAGCCATGTGTGGGCTTATTCTTCAATATATTCCCTTTTATCAATTAAACCTGGTCTAGTATAATATCCTATATCAACTTGTATATATCAATTATATTTAAATACTAGTGTGTAGCCCGTGCTATGCACGGGTAAATAATACTAATAATCCCAACCTTCAGCGAGTAGGTTTCTCGCCTTCGGTTCTAGGAGTTTGGTTAGAGCATGATATTATTGGAGTGTCGTATCCCCGTCGAGTCCTAATATAGGCTTATGACCTTTTTCATTGTACCAAAAATAATAATAATAATAATAATACTAATATTAATTATAAACTAAATATTAGGATAAACAATATTAACTATAATTATAAATTAAAGATGTGGGGTTACATGTGATCAAATTTACTTTATATAGTCTATTGTAACAATATAAAATTATCTTATATAAAGAACATAAAAAAATTTATGTCTAAAATATTAAAATTGAGAGAAGATCTACATATTATATATAAAATAAATATTGAGATAATACCGAAAATTATTTCGTCATCAAATTGAGTATAAAATAAACGGAGGCTTAATAACTCCATGCTTTGTGCATATGCTTCATTTATCAATTTTATATAATAATTTTAAAATCTCATTATCAAAATTTGTATTCAAATGTATAAAATAAACGGAGACTTAACAATTCTACGTTGCATATACTTCATTTATCAATTTTATGTAATGATTTTAAAATCTCGTTGTTATTAAGATTTTTATTCAAACACGTATCAACAAAGTACACATATTTGAGATTTATGATGAAATACGAATAAATGATTTCTTTATAAAAGAAATCCGTATTTATTTTTTTTTAAAATCAATGCAAACTCACATAGAGTTTTTGTTCTTAACAAACTCCTACAATTCTAATTAAATCATATTATTCCAATTTGAATTTCATGATGGTTTTAAAATCTGTACACGTGGTCATAATCTATATCAAGTAAACAATCCCCATAATTTCAGAAATCAGTATTTATGTGTTTTTGAAAATCAATGCAAATTGCTTGATAGTTTTTTTTCTAAGAAACTCCTACAGTTCTAATTAAATTGTATTATTCAATTCAATTTGAGTACGAATTTAAAGTTTCAATTTGAAAATGAATTTAAAAATCTGTACACTTGTTGATAGTCTTTCAAGTAAACATAGTACCAATTTTTTTTTTCCGTTATTAAGTTTTTATTCCAACAAATGATGTGGTGAAGATTTATTAAGTGAATACCTATGATATATGGATTAATATCCAATGTTGTAGCATACACTTTTTTTAATTGCATAAATATAATTGTGTTCTTTTTCTTTGCATGGACGGTATAATTAGTGCAAGTTAATTAAATGAAGTTAATTTTTTAATAAAATTCATTTAAGTTTTTTTTTTTTTACTAAAATGAATGATGCAAACTCGTACCATTTTAAATTCTCCACAATTTGAATTACTCTTTAACTTTTGAATACTGCTAAATTTCATATCTATCATTATTTATGCGGGCAATTTTGTAGGAAAGTTATTAGGAAATTGTTAACATTTGAATTTGAATTAAAGATTTGCATGAAAATTATTAGGAAATTGTTAACAATTGAATTTGAATTAAAGATTTTTTTTATTTTTTTTTCTGTTTTCCCTATAAGTTAGTTAAAGCAACCATATTTTATTTAAACTTCTATCCCTTCCTTATTTAGAAATTTTGAAATTTGTTTTGCTTGCTATATTTAGTAAATAGTAATTCTTTTTATATAAGTATAGATGTATTTTTTATTTATCTTATTTGAATATACTAAGATTTATGTTTTATTTTTAAAATTTGAACTGGTTCAACCGGTCCGACTGAATCGGTTTCTGGCCAGTTTTGACCGGTCTGTTGCCAACCGGTTCATTCATTCCAGCGAACCGGACTGGTCCACTGACTGGTTTCTGGTCCAACCGGTCCAGTTTTTTAAACCATGCTTAGAACACGATTGAAAAATTAACAAGTTAATACTTAATAACTAAAAAGGAGTAACTTGTAAAAATGCAAACTAAAAAATCTTTATGAATTAAAAAGTTATTGGCCATGTTTGTTTTTTGGCTTTTTCAGTTAATTTTAACTGTTTGACCAAATTTAGCTTATTTGACCAGTTGACCAGCTAAAAAATGCGTTTGGTATTTAACTTATTTATTCAGCGTTTTGGATTGAAAAGCTAAGTTTTGAAACGCTGCTTCTAGCAGCGTTTAGGGGAGAGCTTTTTCATTTTCTTAATTATACTCATTTATTACATGATTAGTGTCTCCACTTTGTTCATTTTAATTGTGTAGCTTCACGTTTTGTTTTTTTCTTTTTGTTTTTTTTTTTACAATAGCTTCACGCTTTTTTAAATGATAGACAACCAAATATATTTTTTTTTACAAACTTCAATTAAATATTTAGAACAGTTCGTCTTTTTTCTTTAATTTATATTCTTTCTTTAGTTTTTTTATTTAATTATAATAAATATAAAATTCAATCTAAATGTACTTGAAAATATATAATGAAATTGTTAATATAAATATAATTACATAAAAACAATTTATTTGTATTACTTTATAAACATTTTCTTGAAAATATATATCAAGCTAAATGTCTAATATATTTTGCAAATCAATCAACTATTTTAATCTATGTACCAGTAAATATAGAAAATCCCGCAAAAAAGAACTCATGCTGGGGGAGTGAGTGGGGGTATCATATTTTTATCATAAAAAATTAGTATTGTTTTTAATTGAACTAATATTCATGCTTAATTATGATAGATGCATATTTTTTTTAATAATTGCATGGTTTTTTTATATGATTTGAACTTATTTACTTGATTAAAAAATATTTTTATTATATTTTAAACCACTTTAATAAATATTTAAAATATTAATTATTTTTATTTCTTAAATAATTATAAGTTAAGCATAAATAAGAATGATAAAGTATGTTGATATTCTTATAATTAATTTTTCATGTTAAGAGCTAATTAGAAAATGCTAATTTTACCAAACATTTTTTAGCAAACCGCTAACACCATCAGTTGGTCAAAACAGCTAACGCAATTCGCTAGTCAAAGTAGCTAATGCAAGCCGCTAACAGGTAACAGCTAACCGTTGATTGCCAAACAAGGCCATTATATTTGAAGGATGAGTAATTTTATAAAAAAATTGAGCAAAGGAGTAGTTTTATTGAAAAATGTACAGATTATATTTGAAAGAGGAGTGGTTTTATAAAATAGATGCAGTCGAAAAATTGTTATGGACTACTTATGTTTGAAAGAGAAATGGTTTTGTAAAACATTGCACATAATAAAACCTTCTTATGTTTGATATAATTTTTAATGATAAAATAGTAATATAAAATATAAAAATAAGTTACACGTACAAAAATGTTACTATCGATTTCAATTTTAACAGTTGCTTCTCAAAATAGACACCTTAATGAAAGTATGCCTTAAACATCACCATCCCATTATCACATGATTTATATTTCTGACATAAAAAAAGAGAATGAAATTCATTAATCAGATATGATTTTAATTTCTAAGTAGATAAAGACAATGAAATTCGTTAATCCGATGTTATATTTTGCGGTGTTCAATCACGCAACAATCTATATATCTATTAATATTTAAAAAGATAATAATATATTTTATTTTCTCAAAATTGATAGATATATTTAATACAAATACATGATTACAGCCGGCAGCTAACTAATCGGATAACAGGAAGCCTACCCAAAATAGCTAAATGCCACAACACAGCACAAAAAAAAAAACTAAAAAGCTCAAACTAGTGGAGAACGTACACTCTAAAAAGGGAGAATACACGTTTCTGGAAAAATAAACACAAAACACAACCACGCACTTACACAACAAGACAGAACAAACACACACTCAACACAACCACAGAACTTAAAAAAAAACATAACAAACACACACTCACAACACAACCACAGAACCTAAAAAGCATAACAAACAACCAAACATAACTACAATAAACTCCTCCTCTGCAGTCAATAAACTGCTTCGAATGACCGACACGAGCCAGACACCCGATCAAAGAAACCAAGACAAGCAAGACAATGGTCCGGGAAGCAGATTTCGAAACTCCCTTCTCCAAGAGAGCTGGCTAACTACATCCACCTAACTCCTGAGCCAAGCCCCACTCCTCTACGACTCTCGGCCGAGAAAGCACGCAGAGGCCCTCCCCTCAACCGTTCCCCGTCACGACCTCGGCTGCCTCGAAACAAGACGCACACGCCGCCGAGCCCCTGTCGGTTCCCAACCCCAGAGCAGCTGCACAAGAACAAGGGAAGGTGACGCTACGGCCCAAAGCCTTCCACAACCAATCACAAACAAACCGACCTCCCACTCCGCGCAGCCAAAGTCATTGGATAGCCCCACCGCCGCCATCATTGCTGGAAGCGCTGCGTTGGACTGACAATCACCGTGACCATTTGCTGGAAGCGCTGCGTTGGACTGACAATCCGTGACCATCGTTACTATGCAGTCGATCTCGCTTGTCTCGAGGGGCTGTTAGCTCCTCGATATCGACTCTCCATTCCTCGAAGTCGACTTACACACCTCGAGGACACAAAAGAGATATTTACTAAGATGGTGACTCCATATCTCTACTAATACAAAGTCGACCTCCTGTTAATCGAGGTCGACTTCATGGACTTCACTGATCAAGGCCGACTCGTTACTTAAAGGCATATCCGGTAGTTGTTTCCCAGTATTCAACAGGCTTAATGGATAAGGAAGAATCTTAAAATGATAAGATGGAATCCTAAGCTGACTCAGATCTGACTAAGAAGTGATTAGGATGTGGACAAAAATAAAATAAAAAAAAATGTTTTAATTTCAAATACTTTTTGAAAGATGGGAAAAAATGAAGATTGAGAAAAATAAATTATGGTTGATAAACCACGTATTGAATATAAAATAATATGAAAACGTAATTAATGCTCTTAAAAACATCATAAATATATAGTATATTTATGGATATTCTAAATTTAATTATTTTTAAATAGGAAATAAATTATAATTTAACCAAAAAAACAAAAAAATGACAAAACATGCAAATTTATTGTATGGAAGTAGGGTTCTGAAAACCAGATTAAGCAGGCCGGTTCGACCGGGGAACTAGCTAATAAATCGGTTTGATTTGAGATATTGAACCGTTAGAACTCAGAACTGACAAAACCGAAGAACCGGCAGCGATCAGCACAACAGAGCGGTCGAATTGTTTCCTTTAAGCGGATATGATAGTTGAATGCTTTAAATTGTTGAATGTTTTTTTTTTTTTTTCGATGTGGGAATTCCAAATTAAGGACATATTGGGCCTTCAATTTATTGCGTTATGGTTCTGTTATTGATTTTTTTATAACTAAAATATGGGTGAATTATGACATGGATGGGCAATGGCGCATGTGAGGTGGTTTGGCTGCTTTTTATTTTTTATTTTTATATTAAATTGTTATTATTATTTTATTTATTATGTGTTCTTTTACTTAAGCCTATAATTAATATATATTTAATAAAATCCAAAACCCAGCTAATCTGGATTTATTTCACTCCAAACATATATAAGCCTACATAGCTAATATAATTAAATTAAGCATGATTCTTTTATTTATTTATTTTTAATTTACTTAGACAAATGTCATTATATACTATTAAATTAATGATAAAAATATATACAATTATATATTATATATAAAATAAATAAAAATTATATATTAATTAAATCGGTTCGACCACTGATACGACTAATGAATCATTGAACCGATAATTTCACTAGTTTGATGATCGATTCAATTTTCAAAACCTTATATAAAATTTTTAAGATTGCGAATCTGCCATGTAGGCTCGTCCGAAATTTTACACCGGAATGATACTCTTAAAAAATAAAGTATATACAAATATTGTCCTAAGTTATGGCTAGATATTGACGACAATCCATTTGACCTCGTTGAAGACTTGACAATCAGACAACCTTATGAATAAAGACTGGAAAACAGCATAACACACATTCATTATTACATACATCCATCAAAAAACCTCTGCTCATCAAAACCCAACCATACTAACAAGAGCATTCCAATAAACCTCGAAATTACTATTATGGATCCCTGCCCCTTTGTCCGATTAATCGTTGAATCCCTATCCCTCAAAATCCCCTCCGCCGCCGGACCCGCCGGCTCAGGCGTCCACCCGTCCGCCACCCCTTGCTACGCCCAAATCAAGCTCAAAAAATTCCCTTCCCAAACTGCCCTCGTCCCACTCCCACTCGCCGCCCCATCGGAATCCCCCTTCGCCGCCGCCTCCGCCGCCGCATTCCACCTCGGCCCGGACGCCCTCCGGACCCTCTCCTCCGTCGCGCTCAAGATCGCGGTCTTCACGGGGCGTACGGGCCGCACGTGCGGGATCACGCGCGGCAAGCCCGTGGGCTCGGTCCGGGTGCGGATCGACTTGGGCCAGGCCCAGATGGGGCCCATCGTGTGCCAGAACGGGTGGTTGAAGCTCGGCGGGGAGGGGGCGGCGGCCCTGCATGTGAAGGTCCGGTCCGAACCGGATCCTCGGTTCGTGTTCCAGTTCGGGGGTGAACCGGAGATGAGCCCGGTCGTGTTCCAGATTCAGGGGAACATCAGACAGCCGGTTTTCAGCTGTAAGTTCAGCGCCGGCCGGAATAATCGGTCACGGTGAGTTATTTATGAATCATTAATTACGACAGCTAATTTTTAGTGAAATGATTGTCAATTATGTGCTTAATGTAGGCCATGATTTTATAATGCTGACAGGAATTAACTATGGTTTTATTTATAATTTTAGTGTGTTACTTCTTGCTTGAGCCATTTTTTTTCATCTTTTACTTGCACGAATTTTTTGATAAATATAAGTTTGCAGTAGAAATTAGGAGTATATATATAATATGTTCTGGAGTGTGATTATCAATATCATTTGTTCTAAAGTGGCAATTCAACACAGAAATCACCTGCCGTTTTTCTTTTAGAGTTGAAAATTCTTTAATTTGTTTGGTGATTAATTGGAAGTCTACAACATATGTTGACTTGTGAATGATGGTTGAATTTTTAATAAAAAATGTGGCGAAGTTACACTTTGCACCTTTGAAATCGTTATTTTGTTTTGCTTGTATATAATTTGTTGTTTGCATAATACATCAATTTGCACTATTTATATGCAATGCAACATGGATTGGCATCTCTTTTCTAGATTTAGTTACACAGGTTAATCTGAGTTTTCTCAGAGATTTATGACTTTAGCATGGAATGCAAGCATCACCTGCTCAATCTTTGACTTTAGCACTATTCCAACTCCATAAAGTGTTTCTTCACTATCACAAAAGAAGATGTTGTATTTTTATATTTTTATCTAAGAAAGAATTTTCTCCAACTGTGAAAACAACTAACTGAACATGTATACAAGAAGCAGATCTCTTAATAAAGGAATTTACTATTAGTGAAGGTTAATCAAAACATATCTCTTAATTAATAATGTCGATGGACCAGTCAAACAAACAAATGTTAAATTAACTATCCGGCAACCAACCACCAGTGGATTCCCAATGCATGTGCAATGATTTCTGGTCATCACAACTCATTATGAACCTCAACCTTGTCTTTTATGTCCCCATAGAATTATTGATGCGGATAATTTATTATTATTACTATTATTATTTTAGTATTTAAATATTTAGTGGCTTGGTGGACAAAATAGTTTTTAGGATTTTGGGTGTCTTATTTAAAGACCCCTCTTCTTTGTTATTCAGCGGCTGATTTTGAATTGAAATAAAACTGATTGGTTTTATCGGGTTTGACATTGAGATCTCATTCTTATCATTCCCACTTGTACGTTTTCCCTACATCAATTATTACATGTTATTAATCTCCTTTCTCCCATATAAAATATTCAGATCCCTCCCTTGGGATTTCAACGCCAGCAGCCGGCTGAGCTGGCTGAGGCGGACCCTCTCGAGCGACAAGGACGGGCCCGTGGGCCCGCGCAAGGGGTGGATGATGACTGTGCACGACCTGTCGGGCTCGGCCGTGGCCGCCGCCTCCATGATCACGCCGTTCGTCCCGTCTCGTGGGTCCCAGCGAGTCTCCCGGTCGAGCCCCGGCGCGTGGCTCGTCCTCCGGCCCTCCCCTTCCGGGTGGAAGCCGTGGGGCCGACTGGAGGCCTGGCGGGAGAGGGGGGATGCCATGGGTTACAGGTTCGAGCTCGTGGGCAGTTCTCCCGTCTCGGAAGGGACCATCAGTGCCAGGAAAGGCGGTAGGTTCTGCATCGGTGGTGGGGGCTCGTTGGGGTTCGTGATGGGGTCGAGCGTGGGAGGGGAAAGGGGTGCGAGCGGGCCCCCCGGGGTGGAGGTAGGGGTGCGCCACGTGGCGGAGGCTGCATTGTTCGTGGCTCTCTCGGCTGCGGCCGACCTCAGCGTGGAAGCGTGCAGACCGTTTTCGGGGAAGTTGAGGAGGGAGTTTGGAGGGGAGGAGCACGAATCNGATGTGATTGTAATTCTTTTTGGGTTTATTAATATTTTCATACAAAGTTTTGGTTTGATGTGATTCTCTTGTCCAAATATATTGAGATGATGTTGTTATTCTTCTGTTGATTGTTAATGTGCAATTAGGATGGAAGTATAGGAGAGCTAATAGGTGCTCATATGTTCTTTAATTTTGGTATTAAATCGGTAATTATAATTGAGTCCTTAAGTCTATTTTGATTAGGCAACTTGGAAAGCTTCTTGAAGACTAAAGGAAGCATTGTCGCATTTATTCCTTTTCTATATTAATTATATATTCTCGGACTTATTGATATAATTATGTTAGAAAGATTTGGTGTGGGATATTACCTTACTTGGGATGAGAAAGAGAAGCGTGGACGGATAGGTACTCACCTTGCATTTACAAGGGAGAGATGTGTGAGTACTTACCATGCATAGACGAGAAGGACGCATTGATGTAACTGGAAGAACCTAGACGCACAGACTTACCTTGATTGAGAATGACTATATTTAGAAGTTACTGAATAACCATGTTGTATTTAGCTGTCTCGTTCACTTAGTTTTAGATAGTGATTATCTTCTTAAGAGAAGGGTGTGAGAGGATAGAAATAGAGTGATCAATGTTTAGTTTTTATTTGTTTTGGGTGAATGATCAAAGTAGAGTCTTCAAATCTGATTCGAATCACACACACTTTGGTTCATCATCAAAGTGCATGGGACAAACACTTTTTCATTAGCACGGAGGGATCCGTGTTGTTGATAAAGTCCACAAGGAGTGACCAGAAAAGTAGTTGGATGAGTGTGTACGACATAGGTTAGAAAGAGAGAGTCTTTGTTGTAAATCATAGTTGTACTGGGCCAAATACTTATTTCAATGGAAGAGATTCGAGAGAGAGCGGATATACTATTGAAAGTTCATTTATGTTTGAATTGCTTCCGCGACTACAGTGAATGTTCATATTTTACTTTACTAAAGCACAATTCTTTATCTCTCAAAAATTTCAATTGGTATCAGAGCGAGCTTTCGTTCATTTATACGAAGACCTCGTGAACTTGTACTTGGGAAATCATGAATCACAACGGTGGATCCATGTCGAGACCTATTCCTACTAGAAATCGATGATGACCATCTTCTTGTGTTCCTTGAGGAAAGGAGCATGGGAAAACATGGAGAATGGCTATAAAATCCAACAATAAGAAGGGCATCAGACAGTGGACTACATGATGTAGTTGATGAATATCCAAACCAAGAGACGTGTTGACAAATCTGGAACACATGCAAGAAGGGTGAACTTTTCGAGCCTTATACACAATTCTGATGGTCGTTCCTCAAACACGACACAAGATGATAGTTAAATGCACAACTGCCAAGGATACTTGGAGTATACTAGAACGTCAGTTCGAAGGATCCACGACAGTCAAATCCTCCAAACTTCATCGAGTAACTTTGGCTTATTGATGATATTAAAATGAAGGAGGATGAAACCATTGACCTGTACTATTTGGGGTTTTCTGATCTCATAAATCATAGTGTTGTGTTGGAAAAAGACATATCTGAAGCACGACATGTACAAAAGATCATGAGAACACTTCCTTGTTGATTTTGTGAAAAATTCACGGCTCTTGAAAGTTTTCAACGAATCAAACCTCTTGATCTTGATGACCTCCTCAGTGATCTGAGAGTGTTTGGGATCAACAACAACTATGACAAAGTCAAGAACAAAGGTATGACTTGAAGGCAACTGTAGTCCCTCGAGCTGAAGAAAGTGACGAGAAAGAAGGTTCATTGGAGGAAGATGACGAATTCAAGGAATTGTTTGCCTTGATTGTCAGAAACTACAACAATATGCATCAAAGGTTGTATAAAAACAAGTTCAATGGCAAGAAGCCTAATAGATTCAACAAAGGCTCCTCGCAAGAGAAAAGAACCAACAATCCTTCCTCCAAAACTGATAATAAAAAATATGACAAGGATCAATGCAGAGAATATAGAAGGTACGGGCATTTTCAGTTTGAATGTGATGGTTTGTATACTAGAAAGCATTGCTTCGTTTGAACAATATTTCTGTTTTGAATAAAAGAATCATATTTAGTCAATGTTTGTGAAATTTACTTCGTATATGGATTTTCATCTTGTCTTGTTATTCACATTAAAGATAATAAAGTGTGGCTCCGTCACATAGAAGATTGTATCATCGGTTCTTTGTGCAATATAAATAAGGTTCATAACCGAGATAGCAATGGACAAACCTATCGATATGGTTATAATATAATTTGAGTTACTTTATCTTAACTAATGAATTATACTAGTACACTTTGTGTGTATTGAACGGACCGGGGAGAAGAAATTTATTTTGTACTGACCAGTAAATAAACTAGATCTCATGTCATTGCTCGTACTCTTAAGTCATTTGATAATGATGGGCACGTGTGATTAATAATCGTTCTTTGATTTACCAAATAGTGAGACTTATTTCACTAGGTCAATAACTCAATTAGTTGGGAATTATTAATTACATGGTGCATTGTCAATTATACTCTGTCACTGTGCACTGGTGCTCCAGGTTGATGACATCCCAGCTCAAAAATTTTATTATGTCAAGCTCTATAGGCGGATATAATTCCGGCATAATAATAAGGATTGAGTGGTACTAGTCCCGAAAATATCAAAGAAGTTAATAAATTAAATTATCAGTAATTAATTAATTAACGAATATTATATCTTTGGCACGGGAGATAAATTGAGGAGAGTGAAGCTCAAATAAATGGGGTGAATGAAAGGAAGTGCAATAATAAATATTTAGTCAAATTATTTATTATTATTGACCTATGAAATAGGGTGGAACACAACCCAAGTATTTCTTGGCCCATTAAAAGTCCTAATCTTAGCCCCCATAGGTCCCTATTGATAGCAACACAATTTATGTTAGCATTTGTAAAAATGATAGCACCATGTGAGATTAAAAATAGCATCATACACAATTAAAAATAGCATCAAATATGGTTCTCACGGTTCTCACACCAGGACTAGTTTTTATTTGAACCAACCCCTATATATATATATATATATATATATGTCATGTAATATACGAATACGACCGGAATAACGAGAGGGTNAAAGAGAGAGAGAGAGAGAGAGAGAGAGAGAGAGAGAGAGATCCAAGCCACACATTTTCGGTAGATCGTCACCCACACGACATTCGAATGATGCTAAGGATATACAACAGAAGATCGAAGGTGTTGGGGCAATCACCGACACCCGTGCACGATCACCTCACACGAGCACCGACGACTGCCGCAATCCACCGCTACGCGACTCCACTTTTCAATACAAAAAAATATTTAAAAAAAAAAAATTGGCACCGGCTATCGTTGAACAAACCAACATAAATGGCAAACTCGATTGCACTTCATATAACTGGACATTAGAGGAGATATGGATCGAAAAACACCAAACTACGACAGATAAAAGAAATGACTAACCTGGCATAACCTAACCATTGTCTTCAGTAATTAAGAACGAACACAAAAAACCTCATACGTGCCAAACCATGGTGCTAAATTTGGGTGAAGGAGTTTTTAGTAATTAGACATAAAAAAATCCTACCATATATCCAATAAAATAAACATAGAAACAAATAATCATAGGACGAGAATAAACAAATCGAGCCAAGTAAACAACCAACATATTGAAACTAAACAGTACAATCCTACTAGGTTTTGTTAGGTTTATATATTCCTTTGTTATCCCGTCAAGATTAGTAAACATGCCCTAAGAGATTATCTGATTTTTTAAACAAGATTATCCTAAATTTAAATTATATATAATCCATTCTTTTGCTGATAAATGACATTTGATAACTTCAATGATATGATAATTAAAATCTTATAATATCAAATATTCATAATGTGAATAATGTAAAATTCCTAAAAGACTAAGGATTATATGATTAATTAAAACTTTATAAAAGAACAAATCAGCATAAGAAAAGGCCTCCAAAGCAGGATCATACAACAATCCGTGTCTTATTTAGGACATAAATCCAGTCTACACTAACTAGAGCAACGACACATCACAAGAACAATGTACTTTTAAAAACAAGGACAAAAGATGCAACCCACACAATGAATCAGGCATTGAAGTGCTTCTTGCTACAACGTTTTCCGAATATTCATGCAAGCATCCTTATTCCCATTTGATGCCACAAAATGCTTGCTAATTTTCTTTTTTTTTTTAAAAAAAAAAAAAGGTTTTCCCAATCATTGCCCAACAAGGGTGACTTCACTTTGCACTGAACTTGCTGCTAACAGCATCATAGCTGGGCAGATTAATCACTGCAGATAAAGAGAGTTACAGAAACAGGCACTCATTAGATAAATCATATGACCACAGAGAGAGAGAGAGAGAGAGAGAGAGAGAGAGTTTCAGAAGACATTGAATTACCATCTCCATAAGATGCCATTGTGAGGGGAGATGATAAAAGCTTCTGTGCTACTCTAGCAATATCACTTGGTTGGACTGAATCAACAATATCCAAGAAATGCTTCGCAGATTTCCTGATTACGAATGTAAATAATTAATGGTCAGCACCAAAAAAGACGTACACTAAAATTTGTATAAAAACGAAAACGCATGCGAAAACATTTTTATTTTTAGAATTCACGGAGGCAAACAACCACAATCATCGAGGATAATTTATCATTAGCTTGAAATAAAAAAGGTCAACTGAAAGGGACATTAGTCATCCGAATATTCTCTTGAATGATAAACTGATTTCTGATCCTGACTTGAGGATACATATTAAATATGGAATAGTCCTCCATACCTTTAATCAGTTGATGCACCTCGTAACAGATATTTCTACATACAACTATGCTGTAATTCTTCAAAATCACATCATTTCATTACTAGACTATTAGTTGAAATAAACCAACTTTGCAAGAAATTACTTGGTCCTTTTTCACTAACGTCCCTTGAATGTCTAAACATTACTA